GAAACTTTTATTCTATTTTAAATGAATCCTTAAAGTTTAAAATGACCTTTCTTGTGCCTTTGCTTGAATTTGACTGAAAATCAGCCAAGTCTATCTTATGATCCATTTAAACTTTAACTTTTTGATGTCTGTTCAGGAATATTTTTGTTTATCATTGAAACAAATCTGCTTAGAACCACAGCCCTGCATGTCAGCTTGTTTTTGGTTGTTTGATTTGGCAGCATTAATGATGTTTTTTTTATCAACTTAAACAACTACAACTCTAGTATTTACATTTAACTGTGTCCCTCATAGCGGGAAAAGATCCGAGGTCATCGTGTTCCCACTATGAGGGACACTTAAAATAAACAATTCCTTACAAAGCATTAAATGATGTCTGTTCTACATACGTCTACATCTGGTAGTGACTCTGATTGGCTAAATTAAGTCTGTCAACCAAAATCTACCCTATCAAATGCAGTGTAGTGGTCTTGCAGTGTAGCGGTCTGAACCGATCAGGTTCACTTCTAGTTCATGTGAAGAAACCAATCATCTTTGGTGTGCCAGCAAGTAGTGATTTTTTTTACTTGAATATAACATAAGCTGCCATTGTTTACTTTTAAGGAAGCCAGACGATGACATACTGCGAGAATATAAAAGAAAAGTTGATTTCTTACAAGGTATTGTCAAGGCAGAAAACATGGTGAGTGTTTGCACTTGTGAAGTTTTTTGAACAGAATTTACATTTAATCTGAACATTTTTGCAATACACAAATTCGACTTATGGCCCCATTTTGGAAATTACTCCAAACTTGATTATGTGACTTTTTAAGCTCAGATTTGGTTTTATCACCATAATTTTAGGCTGGATACAATTTTTCTTGTTGTTTGTACTTGTATTTTGAATTTTATGGAGAAATAGAGTTTGAAAACTTGTAAAGGATTTGACCGCAAAAATGATTCCAGGGAAAACTTTCCCCCCTAGTCGCCAATCACGGTCAAATCTCTTAAAATTTTTTTATCTTTATGTCGTCATAAAATCAATATCATGAGCAATACCATAATGAAAACTTCAAAGTAGACTAAAATCATTGCTCTGAATTCGAATCTGAGATTGAAAATTTTGCACAAAAGAATTTTCAAAATAAGGCCGTAAGTCAAATTGGTGTATTCTGTGCTAAATCTTGAAAAATCCATTTGAAAATGATTGCTACATCATCAAATAATATTTTAAGCTTTGGAAAGAATATTCTAAGCTCTATAAGTGTCTTGGAACATTGAATTAAATCCATCCATTTCGTTTTGAAGAAACAGTTGAATCTTAAACTAGGATGAATTGAAAAAATCAAATTCAATTTTATACACTCATGTATAAAAAGGAAAGATCTACAAAAACAATTCCAACAAATATGAGCTTGACAAGCAGCAAGGTTTATGTTTTAAAAGTTTTTAATAAACACATCAGGTTTAGGTATGTCTAGGAATAGAGAAGACTTGTGACAAAATCTTTTTTCTGTTAGCCAACCACAGAGTCAAAAGTACGAGCTTGCCAGCAATTAATTCCTGTATCAACAAACCTTGTCAACGACTCAACCAAGGATGGTGAGAAATTAGGAACACATCTCAGCAAAGATGTTCACATACAATCAAAAGGAAGATATCATAAAGAAATGAGAAAAGAGTTATTAGGTAAACAAACTCTTGTTGTCTTTTTGGCTCTATAGTAAACCTTTTGGCTATATCGCAGAGAAGAGCCTACTTTCTAGAGTCAGAATGGTAATTTGCTGTTTATTATTTTTCATTAATGTTGTTAGTTTTGTGTGTTCTTGGGTCTTATTTAAAGATGCAGCCTTCTTTCCCCTAAAGCATTTTTTTGTTAAGATAAATATCATTCTGAAAGGAATCCATTTGACCACAACGAATTTCTTGACTTGCTCTCTATTAGTAATACTTTCAGTAGGCCAAAGGGACTGATTTGGCAACGTCAACAGTCACGTGGTCGCGTTTCTGATTGGACCATTTCGATCCACAACTATTTATATGTGTTTCAAAGCTTAAAGTTTTGGATGCCTATGTTCTGACATCTTCTTTTCTGAAGATGCATTGTAAAGGGATTGTAGCAACATATTGATCATCAAAAAACCAGTTATTTTTAAGTTATTCAGTTATTCAGTCAAGCAGGTTATTCAAAGCTATTTTCAATTTTCTTACCACAAGAAGATTGTTTTCTTAATCTTGGATAAAAATATTTTTGGAAGGAAAGAGGAATATTCAAAAATTTAGTGTAATGTATCAAGTCATTTGGCAGGCATTGTAGCAACAAATTGATCAATCAAAAACCAGTCACTTGAGCTAAATGCTGCTTTATCTTTGAATGTCTTTTAGTTTGAATTTAATCGTTGATTGCACTTTAATTTTCGAATTTCTTTCTAGGATATGAAGATTCTTCCAATGACCTGAGACAAAGAAGGTATTATACAAGAGCTATAGTTTGATATTCCGCCAGTGAGCAAGAGAACGTACTAAAACGTAGCCCTCAATATTTGATTAATTAATTCATATCATATGTTAGTGTATTAAAGTGGTCGGTTGTGAGTTACAACTCTAAGTCCATGCGTTATGCGATCAGAATTCTTATTGTCAGGCACCGCGCAGCCATTGGGCTAGCAGGGGCTTTAGGCCCCCTCCCACTTTTTTTCAATAATTGGTTAGAAAATTTTGCTCTAACGGATCCTAAGTAGTAGCAATTCTCCTTGGCTGGGCACCTTTTTTGTCCATTTTCTAGGTGTCTTATTTTGCCAAATCTATTTTTATTGTAATTGATATCTTCTCTGAATCGGACTGTTTATTAAAGTAGATTGAAAGAAGCAAGTATTTTCTAAAAGGGGCATTTTCCGGCGTTCTTAAGGGCGTGGCCTAAAAATTTTCGGTCATGCTCTTTTCAGCCCACCCACTTTGAGACTGGTGCGCGGTGCCTGCCTATCGTTTACATTTTTCAAAAGCCACTCGACTCAAAACCAGACCCCATGCTGCCTAAAGCACTTGATGTTCCAGTCCTTGAAGTTACTTATGAGGTGTTTAAATCTTAGCACACGGAAGTAGGTACCAACTCTCCCTGGAAAATTAACTGGAACCAAATTTATTTCACGCTCAGTTTTGAAACTGTCTTGTTATAAGTGCTAGACATTGTTGTAGGTGAATTCTCCGAAATAACAAACGCTCTGTATCATAATCAAAAAAAGAATTAACAATATAACGAGCATAAAAGTATGACTGTTGATTTTCAGTCCTATTCAATATCATATTTTGCTAAATATATTCGGAAACAGTGCCTAATTGAAGCCTTTTTCGAAAACCACTGTTTTTGCTAAATGGAAAGAGGGGGACCGGAGTGGGGTGCGGGGAAAATTTTTCATACCACGCCTCTCAAATTGCCGGAATCTGAAACCTAACCTAAATTTTATTTTTTTTAAAAAACTTATTTATGTTATCTTATTTTTATATGAATTTCATAACATTTTGAATAAATACGATAGCCAACATTACGAAGAGCGGCAAAAGTAGCCATAACAAATAATTTCCAAAACAAGTTAAGTTATCACAATTTGATAACGTAGCTATATTTTCCTTGAAAATCTTAGGGTATTCACAGAGTACCTTGAATAACTGGGCGCTATGCGACTGGTATGAGCACCTCAACGGGATACGTACCGAAACCCAAAGGATCGATGTGAACATAATTTGTAAATCCAAATACTCTATTTTCACACCACTGATTTTTGTTTCCAAGACCATCATTAGTTTCTTATACTACCCTAAATTATGCACTGCTATGAAATGTTTTTTTTATTTCCATTTTTAGGGGAAAGTCTTCGTTTGATGATGAAACAAAAGAAAATGTTGATGATATTTTGAAATATCACCATGACGCACAAGAAAAGATTGCAGATGAAATGATAAAAATGGCGCAAAGCATGAAACATACCTCACTCATTGCTAATAACATCATCAAAAAAGATGAAAAGGTACTCACATAATTTGAAGGAATAAAAAATTTGTTGCATTTCATGTTGAAGGGATGTTAAACCCAGTTAGTGATATATTGTCAAATGTTTTTGATATGCTGCCACAAATATTATAGAATTATTTTGTCGTATGAAATATTGAAATTCTGCCTATTGGACCCAAACGCGGTATTTATGAATTTCCAACTTTAAGGTTTTCAGTTAGGTTATGTTTCAATTGTTTCAATGCAGTTATGCATACCCTGGCTTTTAGGCATACTCACATCTCAATGCGACAATATATGCTGAATTTTGTGCCATTTTTTAAACTTTTGTATTGACTTTTGAGCCATTTTTATTTCCTTACACTTCATCCTATGCCAGTGGGTATACTTTCTCTAATTTGGTTGGCCTCTTTTTCATTTTTGCTACGCGATGTTTTTGTGTTCAAAGCAGCCTCAATCGCGTTTAAAGAAACTTCAAAGATGACAAAATGCCTCGGTGAAAATCCCCCACCTCTCTCTTTTTCTCATATTTTTAGTTATCGTAGATTTTTGGAAACAGCAATTATTGTTTTAAGATATAAATGATAAATAAGCAAGGAGCGTTATTAAACCCGATCACAATGCCCTTTTAAGACATTTATTGATATTGTCTATAAAACCTGTGATTTTCTATTAAGGAGTAAGGGGGAAGTTGGGGAATGGGGATGGAGGGAAGGCTGTTATGTAGGGTGAACTCTAATTTGTTGGCTCTTTCGTAGATGCTTGTTTTCGTTGTAGTACCTTTATCTGCCTTTTTATTTTATTCATTGTATTTTGCATTCTTTTTTAGACCCTTCAAAAATCAACAAAATTAGTTGATACCAATTTTCAAAAGTTGAAGAAAGAATCCGACCGGCTGGAAGAAATGAATAAGAGAGGGTGTTCATGGTGGTTGTGGATTATGTTAACTATTGTTTGCGTTGTTTTCTTTCTAATGATTTTATTCATTAAATTCTTCCCTGTTCGCAATAAGTAACTACTCGTCATCAATCTATCACGTCAGTGCAGTTTTATATCATGCCCAGCCAGGGTGTACGATAGCGGGGATTCAGGGGGGGGTCGGTTCCTTGTTTAAGGAGAAAATTGGCCCTTTTCTACCGTTTTTTGCAAGGACCCTGCTTATAGTTCTCATAGCATTAGACCCCTGCGCTCAGCTTACAGTAGTATAGATACTGAGTAAGGATTCACGCGACTCTATATTTGACTAAACAGGCAAAATCTACCACGATAACTCATCTTAGCTATTGTGAAATGACAGGCAATCATTCTCGATTTCACATTCGTAATATTGCCCATACTTTAATGTTATAGAAGGCTACCAATCAATCTTAAACTACCATTTCCAACACTAACCCATCAATCTTAAACTACTTGAAGCAACCTACAAATGCTAGAAAAATTTTCGAGCTTTACCCTCCCTTTAACACTCTCTTTTTAATAGCTTTCTTTTCTCTTAAATTTAGCTATATTGCCATCTAATTTTATGTTAGGGCTGTGGGTTTGATATGAAATATAATAGTTTCTGCACTACCGTACTTTTATCTTGTCAATATATATTCAATATTTTTGGCGAAATATAAAATAAAAACAAAAATTAAATAACAAGCTTTCCTTGTAGTGTTCTAGCATTTATGCATACAATTACTTCAGATCGAGACTCTCTCCGCAGTCTCCTCTCTTTGAGTGAAAAAATGATTTTCTTTTTGAAAACCTGTGAATGCGAATAACAATTTTCTGCTTCATGAATATATGCTTTAAAAGGCTCCACAAACATTTGTCAAAAAGAAAATCTGAAAGTTTTGGAAAGAAAATCTCAATCTGGTTTTGATTTGTTAACAAGACACTAAATGTCAAAGTTTTTATCTTATGTGTAAGAAGGAAGAACCGCAGGATAGGCTGTCCGCCGGATTCTGTGAATCTTGCAAGTGCTCCGATGAAGCCCTGTATGCCGGGGCGAAATATTAGTATTCCTTAAATTTAATTTATTTTGAAAATTTTATCTCGTCACATTGGATTCTCGTCATCGTATTGCTTTGTTTCTGAATATCTTTTTTATCTTATGCTTCAACTACCAATTATAGAGAACATGCTTCAATGTAAGGTTATGAATGTTTGTTAAAATTCAACTTTTGCAGCTTTAGGAAGCTGGGTTCTGGTTTTTAAAAAGTTTCATCTTTAATCTGGTCAAAAAGCTCTATATTAAAGGACAAGTGACACGCTTTTGGCGCCAAATTTTTTTTTCCTTTTAACTTAAAGTAAAATGCTGTATGAGAGTGTTGTTGAAATATTTTTCCTTTCTGATTTCATTTTCCCACTTAAAAACCCTTTTGAAATTATGGCGGGAAATGGATCACGTGACACCGTGACGTAGATAATTTGTGATAATTTCTTATTGCTGCTACTGGTATAGAGTGCAATATTAACGTTTACAACACGCTTGTAAACGAATACAGTTGGTCTGGACCTGTTGCGTCGTGTTTAGTAAACTCTCTATCAATTACAGGAAAATTCCGAGTTATCACAATGTGCGTCATAGGGTCACGTGATAAAAAGCAAAATCGCGCCCCCTGCGCCCCTTGATTATAATTTTTTGTTCTAAGCCAGGAAAAACTTACTTCTAAAAGATGATCTATAAGTTAATGAAAAGAAAAGATAGGGTGAAAAGTGTGTCACTTGTCCTTTAAACATTCGCTATAGATTATTGTATGAATAATGTAATGATAATAGAAAAAATAATTTTTCACATTTACAAAGGTTAGTTTTGTTCTGTAAATTAAATTACTAATATCAAATATATAAAACAAAAGTTGGTATCTCAAGAATAAAATTTTTAGAATTTACATAAATTAAAAGCAAACAAATTAAAGTTGAATTCTTTACAAGAATAAACGTTAAAAATTTACAAGAAAAAGTTTAAAATAGCACAAGAATAAAAACGATAATTGATACATGGTTAAAAATCTAGATTTGTGTTTGTATGTTGACTAATGTTTTTTGGGCTCTTCGCTGAAATTCTTGTAATGTTCTGAAAAGTGGACAACCAAGTATTTGAATCAATTCGAGATTCTATTCTGGATTATTCTTTGTCATTTGTACTTTTAAATATACTATAATAAGTAAAAATAAAATAATATTTATAGTAAAAATTGTTAGTTAATTACTCCTTTCAAATAACGTAAGTGATGTGAAAGATGTTGCTAAGAAATGATTTCATTTTCTCAATTTTTAGATTACGCTGGAATAGTATCTTTATTTTGATTTCAATTTCTCTTCAAATTCAAAGAATTTTTCGTTTCCAATCCTTTTTGCAGCTCTACACTAGACGGGAGCCCCCGATCCAACTCGTTCAGCATAGTTTCCCTTTCTCAACAATCTATGGATACGTCCGACTGGGCACTGAAGACCAGCTAACCAGTTTCTTTTATGTGTATTTTTTAGGATTTAAGCTTACAGGAAAAAGTGAAAGCGTACTAAAACGAATATTGACAAATTCTAATTATATCTCTTTGATCGAGCGGGTGTAACTTCCTTGAGAAATACTTATCAGTGATATCTCTCCCTCCTTCCTTGGCCTTGTCGTGTGGAAGATGCTTCAATAGAATTACACCTGCTGTTAAATTGGTACAGGTGCAATTATTGTAACAGAACATTTGGTAATCTCAAGTTTGTATTTTCAAGACTATATCTTTGGGTTTCTTACTAGGTGCTCCTTTATGTTACCCAGTTGTTTAATTAATTAGGGTGTTGCCTCTGTCATAAACCCTTTTTTTAAGATAAAGAATACATTGGTCCTTTCGAATAAAATGCGGGCGTTATCGGTTCCAATTTTTACTGTATTTTAAGATGAATGCAATATAGCCTGAATGCATTGTTGATTCATATCCACAATTCGTTAAATAACAATTTTTGTAAAAATGAAATTTTTTGTAAATGAGCAAAATCTTATTGGTTTTTGTTTCCAACCATTCATAGGATCCCTTGCTATACTGCGTGCAGATTTCAAGCAAGTTCGCGGATTACACTAAACAGCTTATCTTTAGTAACGATCATGCTTTTGTCAGGGAACCGTAAGCTTTGGATGAGCTTCTTCCCTGCAGGTGTTCCCCGCCGTAAACAATACTTTTCTTCCATTTTCTGCCTTGAGGCTTTTCTACCTTAATGATTGGTTAAAAGAAGTGAAAGGACAGGCCAAGCATTGGATGCCTGTTTTCCATTTTCTAATGTTGAAGACTGGCTCTGCATCACGGTATGTTTTTCTTCTAATTGGTTACTTTATATCGAATTGGCGAGCAAATAACTTTTTTGTTGCAAAGCTGTCTATTCGTTTTGAAGAAAAACATTTGTTAAAGAAGAATCTATCACCTGGTTGTCTTTTTTCTGAATTAACTCAGCTGTACAAGTAGAATCCTTATGAAAAATTCGAAAAAGATAGTTAATTAATTATACATCCTTTCTACAGAATAAAGCATCCAAATACTTTTCGTTAAATTTTCAAAAAGAAATACTCATAGAGTTAAGATTTTGCTGTGAGAGATAAGAGTTGTATCTAGCAAGACAGCTTGTAAAAATGAAGGTTTGAGGTAAGTCATGTTTAGCCACTTCGCAAAAAATTCCTTTTATCTGGCTAGATAAATTAGTATTTGTTTAACAAGTATGATAGTGATTTTTGTGTCATTGCCAAGCATGAGTAGATATCACGGAACAATGTAGTACAATTTTTGCAATATTTTTAAGACCAAGGGGTATCTTGCATATCTTTCGCTTAGAAGCAGAAATTCATTTTCAGGTGGGGGAGAGGGTAAAACCCACAAAAACAAGCAAATTTTCCGACTAATGACAATATCTACCGACAAAAGCGCCAAAAACAGTGTTTTGTAACCGACAATTAAGCAACACTCTCGCTCTACACTCTACAGTCTCGCAATTTCTGTCGCAGTTTTTCGCTCATGTGTATCGCTATATGATATGAAAATGGAGGTAAAGAAAGGGCATACTCATGCTGGTATGAGCTGCTGAGGCAATGGTAATGGAGAAGGCTATTCGTTGCAGCGTCTATGACAACACCATGGGTTTCTCTGTCCAAGACATTAGAATATTTACAATAATGAGTAATTGATCATTAAATATCAAAATACTTCAGAATCTGATTTGGAAGCGATACTGTCGGTACTTGCCAGTCATAAAATGTCTCAACTATTTGGCTTGCGGGAGACAAGGGGCATTCGTCGCTAGATTCGGGGGACCCGGTGGACCGATAATTCAATTACGTCTATTTTCTTCTTACTGGTGTAATAGAACAGTGCCCTTCCCCCACTGAAGATCAAGCCGCACTGTTGCTCTGTGTCCTTTTTCAATAGGCAGGGCCGGGTGGAGGGGCTGGAGCCATCCCAATAATTGTGAAAATGTACCTATATTTCTTTTATAACAGTGTACCAAACGGGAAGCAATCCAATGTGCAGCCACTCCCCAACCCCCCTCCCCCTCCAAATAAATTTTGTTCTGACGGTACTTATAGGTGCACAAAATATTTTCATCAGATCATGGCGATGATTGTTGGTAGTGAGGGCTACAATAACGGCAAGGTTATTTCCTTTGAACTTGATAAAAGGAGATATCATATAAGGTACTGTAATGAAATATTTTTCCGTTCTTATTTTTATTTATCTTTCATTCAATTTTCAGAATCTTTAAAGCAGCTGAAACAGGTTTGGCCGCTTAGAATTCCACCTGTCTACACAGTAGCGGAAATGCAAAATTTATCACGAAGAAAGAAATTTGAGGTTAACTTGATGGTGATTGCTTCATTTTTTCGCATCATTCTCGTTTTCATGATTTTTCGCAGAGTTGGAAAGCAAGTGTCTAGTTTTATGCAATGAAATTCGTAATATTAGCCCCGTTAAAGAGCTAGGAATTCACGTTTCAATAATTGCTGTTCTCAATCATTCATTGCTCCATATAACAGAGTCCTTCTTGGTAAAGAAAGTATAAAACTCCGCCAAGACAACAACGAAGGCTGCTGCACATTCGCAGCTCATAAACAGTGCAGACAGTGAAGCAAACCAAAACAGCATCGTCGAAAAGCTGATTTCGTTGATGTTGGCAAGAGAGAACGAAGAACCTGATTGATTGAATTATACGTGCACGTATCACACAGTAATATTAACTAGTGAATATGGTTCTGAAATTTCACCTGGTGTTTTATTTACACTTTTGTTAAGGAAGGATGTTGCTACACATTTGAATATCATAGTTTTTTAACCAACTATTACATAATTATTGCAATTAGTTGTTAAAGAAAGAGGTGGTTATTTATAAATGATAGAAATGTCGAGCGAAACGTATAGCTGCATAAACACAGATGTGCTATTACGTCGAGGCAGTGACCAAGATTCGATGCATGTTACAGCATTTCTGGGTGTCTATATAACATTTGGTGTCGTGTCTACTATTCTTAATACCTTGGTCATTGGCACACTTTTATTCTCTAAAGATCTTCATGGTACGTTTTATATTATTCTCACTTCGCTATTTGCAAGTGACCTGATAACGGGCGTCGTTATATTCCCAATGCTGGCCATTATTAACGCATTATCGACGCCTCGTAACTGTGCCCTCTTGGATTCCTGTCAGTATTTCGTACACACAATATCCTTGTCGTCGATCTTTTCAATGATGGCTATTGCTTATGATCGTTATCTACGAGTGGCGAAACGGCATACATACAACATTTTTATGACAAAAACCAAAGGTTTCGCCATCGTAATCTCAATATGGGTAGCTGCGCCGTTTCTCGGGCTTATCAGCTTGATAGTGTCGGCAAAAATAATTGCTTTTACGGCCGTTTGCGTGATATGCCTCATCCTGTACTTGTATGTGATGATGTTAAAAAAACTACGAAGCAACGTCAACCAAGTCCCGGCAAATGCTCCTACCAGGCCACAAGTAAAGAGCCAGGACGGTGGTGTAAGAAGATCCTCGCGCCTCGTTTTCATTCTTGTTCTAGTGATGCTGATGTTGTGGTGTCCCTATATTGTTTTGTCAATGATGAGCGGCACGGTGGCCTATTTGAGAAATGTTTATGCCTTCGCGGCAATTCAACAGTTGCCCCTACTGAGCGCGATGAGCAGTCCGTTTTTGTATTTTTGGACAAACAGAACAACACGACGGAGTTTTGTTGCTTTTTGCTTGAAAGTTTACTGCAGAAAAGCTGAAGCAGATCGAATAGTTACTGTTTGCACTTAAAGTCGGAAAGATCTTTGAGGTGCTCCAGCTTCAAGTGCTCGATTGAACACGTGCTACAAATTTAGATACTTGAACCCCCTCAACACTATCTACAACATTATTTGCTTTTCAAACAGCCCAGTGTTTATGTATATGTGTATATTAAATATGCAAACCAGAACAAGCCCAAGCAGAAAACAGAGATTCGATGGAGCTTTCCCCCTCAGGCCAAGTTTTATAATTAAACGATAACAAATTTTTTGTTGAAGAGTGCCATTAAGATAGTAACACCTTGAAACCGTGTATTGTGTTACCTTTTCTTTTCACTTCCAGAATATCTCATGATTTTCTAATTTCAGCCTTCATTAATTTTCATGAATTGTTTATCATGTTTTTTATGGATTTTAGAGTTCAATCCTTTGCCAGAAACAGGGCCCACGCCACGAATTTGAAAGTGGGGGGGGGGCAAGGCTAGCAAAAGTAGGGGGCAAAGCTTTTTTCCCTTTTACTGCCCCCTCACTTTTTGCGAAGCAAGTGTTTTTAAAGCTTTAAAAGCACTTGCTTTGCAAATAGTGAGGGAGCCATGTCCACCCCGCCCTTCCTCCCAGTTCGAACAAGTTTAGCGTTTCTTTTTAGCGCTTTTAGCGTTCGAATACAACAAAGTTGTAAATGTTGCCATTAATTTTTCCCCATCCCAAAGTGACATGTTCATTACGTCATCACAAGTTTGTATACATCCAAAGCGTAGCCTGGAACTCAGGCTACCAAAGCGAAGCAGAAAGTTTCAAGATTTTTCGTACGCGTTCCAACAATCTTGGTAAGGATTTTAGCAGTTTGATTAAAATACGATAACTTGTAAAGGTGCTCATTAAATTACTTGAATTAAAATTTTCTGAAATTAAATTCGAAAAGAAGTTTCAAAAAATTTTCCGGTTCAAATGCTTCCATCCCATGGTTTAACTCTTCCCTTGATACTAGGGAATGTATTTTAATCCTTTGGTAGAATGACCAATAATGCCCAAAATATGTGCTTATCTGAGCGATCTTTATAAAACACTCCCGTCAAGGGTTGCCAGATATGATTTACAAATGAAGGCGAGACGGGTAGGCAACTGACGCTAAAACGCTCATAAAAAAGCCAAAACAAAAAACCCCAATAATACATTGCACAGGCGCTGTTTATATTACTGCGCATGCGTCTTTTAAATAATCTTTTGACTCAAATAAGAAACTTACTTTTTCTTTAAAAATTTACTTTGTTGATAGATAGAATCTATTTTTTGTGACCTAAAGGTGGTGATATTTGACATTGGGGCGTAGCAATCTACTAATTACTCCATGAATGTAGTTATTACGCTTTTAATTTAGAATTGCTACTGAAAAGGCCAAATTTAAGTATCAGGCCAAAAACAAATTTTCCAGGCAATTTAACTACAAAAAAGGACAAGATTGGAAAATTTGGCCTGAAAAAGGCCAATCCGGCAACCCTGCATCCTGTTTGACTGAGATATAGCCAAATGAGTCCCTTCTCAGTATGTCAAACTTCGCATATGTCGGACTAACGTTTTTGTATGGTCTGAGAAGATCCGAATTACGCTATTTCGACTATTCTCCTGCTTATGTGGAATAGCTGACCTGCTCATCCAAAAATGGCTAAGATGCAACCAAATGAGTACAAGCTCCTTCTTGATCAATTTATTTAAATTTGGTGCTGGCAGTAGATATGATTAAGCAATTCTGTTCCTTCTTTAACGTTTATTAATGCTTATTTTAGATGCATTTTCTTTAGCTTTTTTTTATCAAGCTTTTCTTCTTCAGCGCTTTGTCTTTAAGGTTTTTTCAGCATTTTTTGCGTTTTTTCTTTACTGCTTCTTTTTAGAGTTTCTTCTCGATCGATTTTTTATCGTTTTTTCGTAATCGTTTCCCCTTTAACCTTTGTTTTTCAGCGTTACCCTTCGTTCTTCTATATCTCGAACCTTTTCACTGTTTTTCACTGTTCAAACAATTTTTTTTCTTCACTCCCTTATCGTTCGATGAGGATTGGTGATACATCCTTAGAGGATGCCGGTGTTCTGTGCTAGTAAAGCTAAAAGTCCCACCAAATTCAGCCAATGCCTCCTCACTCTCATTTAATTCATTCGAAGACCGATCTGAATCAGTATTACCGTACGACTCCTCGGACAACATATGTCTAGTTGCTCAATTTATGTTGACTACGGCTTGGCTTAAAGGCCCAGAGCATGTTAAACCTATTACGTCACTATCTGTCGCATCGTTCCAGCACCCGGTATCACTTTCGGTCTCCCACTTTGAGTTTTTGGGTTTTAATTTTGGTGCTTCGCAGCAATTTTTCAATGATTTAACCAAGATTTCTTAATCAGCTTTCAAATTGCGTAAATTGGGCAATGAATAATTTCGTTTCATATGACCTTTAAAAACTCTTAACGAACTTATTGCTAAAAATAGTAAATCATTGTTGATAAAATCTCGAACATGAAATTTCTTTTCCCAGTTAATCATTCAATCATACCATACCGGTCAATCTGTCACTCCATTACAGTCTATCAATTAATCAAAACCTTTTTATTTTGTAAAGCCATTTAGCTTACAAGTTAATAGAGGACACAGAGAAGAAAGAATATGCAAACAAAATGAATGTATATAATATGTAAAATTACAGTCTAATTATCTATATTATACAGTCTAATTATTAAAACATAAAAATCCTATGCACAACGTAAAACTTAACTACAGTCTACTGCATAGGCGTAGGCTTGCATTTTTTTCAGAGGGGGCTCAAAAAATTAATGACAATTCCTAATGGCAGCTGCTGATGTCACAGCATAAAAAGTGGATTAGCTAAAGGCTTAAAGGTGATTTTTCCGTGCATTTTTCATTATCGAGGAAGAAGAAACACACAATCTGACCTTATGTTCACAATAATTTCATCCTTTACTTTGCTGTAAACGAAATTATCTAATGCAACAAATCTTATGCGTGAAACCAATAATATAACAAATTAATCTCAAAGTTGGTAAAGCACTTCCTTATTTTCCAGGGGGGGCTCAGCCCCCCTCGGTTTTCGTCAGGAGGGGCTGAAGCCCCAGAGCCCCCCCCCCTAAGTTTACGCCTATGGTCTACTGTCTTTAAGGGTTTCTTTGTCCATTATTCTTACACTTCTTTTGAACTGGCTATTGAATGTTTTTCTTCGTTTACTGTACGAAATTTCGGAATAATGAAGTTGCTGTTTCTTAATTCGAAGGGATTTCTTTCATTGCAAAAATTTATTTAATTTAGCGTGGAGCAAAACCGTTTATAACTTTGTAAATTAGTATGGCAATTTCCTGAAGTCGTCTGTTCTCTAGAGAAGTTTTCTTCCTAAATGTAGTGTGTGTAGAAAACAGATTGTTTTTAATCTTATTTACTTGTTGTTGTTTTTCAGTAGAACTATTTTGGACTTTTGACCCTGCTATTATTAGAAACTTTTAGCATTGTTTAGGCATGTCCTCGGGGACACGTGACATTTCTTCTCGTTATAAGCGTGTCTTCGAGGATTTGCATTATAGCCCTATATAAGCTTTGGGCGTGTTTTACCCAGTAAGAAGAGAGAACAACATCGATATTAGTACGTGCGAGTTACCGTTGCAAGCAATTTAGATACCGTTTTCGGCCTAGTATTTAGCCTGTTGCTTAGATAATGCTATGCTACGAGGTCAAATAAATAGTAAGTTGAAATTAATTTGGTTAACCTGTAATCGTTTATGTTGCTTTTTTCTTCAAGTTGTTATTTTCATTTAGTTGCATTACATTTAGACCTCGTTAATTAATTATGTATAATTTTATCAACTATTTCATTTAGCGAACAATTATCAAGATAGAAAGAACGCCAGCGTTGTTTTTGCTTAGTGGAAACTGGGTTCATTTCTAATTAGTTCGTGCCCTCCTCAGTAGCAGATTTGCTTTGAAGCTACATCAGTTCGTATTTGACAACAAGAGATAATGGCGTTTTGTGGTGCTGATAGTATCGATACTGAGCATGTCCGACATTTAAAGAAAATGAGAGCCAATGCAAAACGAGAGCTTACGAAAGTTCTGAATCGTGTTGCTGATTGCTTGACTACTGAACAAACCGTAGACGATGTGAGAGTTGCCGAAGCCAGGCTCAACGAAACTTTCGATCATTTCAAAGTGGCATGTCAAGAATACAAAGCTGTAATGGTTGACGAAGATGATATTGAAGAATGCCTCGCGTACACACACGAAGCTGAAAGACGATATTATGATATCAAGGAAAGAGTATCGTTGTTAACACAACCCCTTTCTACATCAACAGAGATGCTGAAGGCTGAAATCAGTCCCGAAGACTCGGTGAGCGAAATTATTTCTCATTCTTGCGTCACTTCAATGTGTTCTAAGAACTCAAAGAAATCGAGCAGATCTACCCTTCAGGATATGATGTTGAAGAATGCTGTAACAAAGGCATCCTTGCTTGCAGAGGCGTCAACATTTGAAGAATGTCAAAACATTGCTCATGAAGAACTACGATTAAGTCAAAGAAAGAAGAGGCTGGCGCTAGACATGAAACTTGCAAAAATCGAGGCTGAAGAAAAAGTTTACACAGGTTTCGCCATGGCAACCGGATCACAAGACGAGGCGTATGGTCAATTACCAAGAGACGTGGGATCTAAGAACACGTGTCAGCAAATTAGAGGCGAGTTAAGAAAAAGTCAAAATATGGAATTCGGCTCACAAGTACAAAGGAAGCCAACAAAAACAGGAATCATAGGTGAGCAAACATTTAAACAATTTTCAGAATTTGGCTATCCCCAACAAGAACGTCAGTTGAACCCACATGCTCCACCTTGGAAGTCACCCCTGCAACAAGATTTTACTGATGAAACATGTGCCAACCCGACATTAAATGGCGAAGATTACCTTGAGACAATGAAGAAATTAGCAGTTGCTGCACTTTTACCAAAATCTGAAATCAGTATGTTCGATGGCAACCCCTTGAAGTATTTTCTTTTCATACGATCTTTTCAGAATAATGTTGAGAATGACACTTGTGATTTTAGCAAACGGTTGCAGCTTTTAGTTCAGTTTTGTACAGGCAAAGCAAGAAGAGCAATAGAAGGATGTATTCTTCTCGAACCTCGGGATGGATACTTGAAGGCAAAACAAATCTTGGCTGAACGCTTTGGTGATGCATATACTGTATCAGACTCGTGGTTAAAGAAAGTATCCTGTGGTCCTGTGATAAAGCCTGGTGACAGAGAAGGCTTGCAAGAATTAGCAGATGACCTCGAGAACTGCGAGATGACTCTGAAGGCTGCAGGCAGATTGACACAGCTAAACAATGAAGACCGATTGGTGAAAGTCCTAGAGCGATGTCCAAACTTTGTGAAGTCCCGTTGGCAATCTCGTGTCCAGGAGATCAGATCGTATCATAGAGAGCCTACAGTTGAAGATGTACGGTGCTTGATCAGAACAATATCAAAGGAAAAGAACGACCCCGTTTTTGGTGCTATCATGGACAATGCTAACAGGGAACAGTCATCACGAAATGACAAGAACAGAAGATCAAATGCGACATATCCGCAGCGAAGCTTGAATTACAGTATTCAGACTTATGACAAGAAGCCAAATGTCACTTCACCAGATGTGCGATGTTATTTCTGTGAGAGAAACCATAAATTGGCAAGTTGCGTGGAATTCAAGAAGAAATCTGGTGAGGAACAGTTTAATTTCATTCGTTCAAAGAAGCTCTGTGATAATTGTCTATCATCATTTCACTTCTCCGCTGGTTGCAAACAAAGAAAAGCCTGTACAGTGCCAGAATGTAATCTACGACGCAAACATTTGACAGGAATACATGACTCTGTGGTGGCATACGAGAAACGGCGTAAGGATGAAAGCGGAAAATATGCAGATAACGAAGCTCGCAGAAGAGATTCGAGTCCAGACAATGATAAGTTTGTTGGAGTAACACGATGTAACGATCAAGAAGGCGACAACGTTGGATTACCAATAGTTCCATTAATGGTAAAAGGGACAGGAAGTGACAAATTATTTAAAACATATGCACTCCTTGACAGTGGATCTACTGCCTCATTTTGTAGTGAAGCCCTCTTGGATAAACTTGGTGTGACTGGAAGAAAGTGTGAATTGTCAGTCGCTACGATCAATGGTTCAAAAACATATTGTCAGACGTCAGTTGTTAGTTTGGAAGTGATGGATCTTGAGGAAACAAAGCACCTTCAGATGCCTAATGTATTTTCTACAAAAATGTTGAATATTCCAACATCAGCTTTGGCTTGTCAAGAAGATGTCAAAAGATGGCCGCACTTAGAAGTACTATTAACGATGGTGTAGTGAGTTTGCTGATTGGCATGGATGTACCAAATGCTTTGCAGCCACTAGAGGTGCAAAAAAGTGAAAATGGTGGTCCGTATGCAGTAAAGACAATGTTTGGTTGGACATTTAATGGACCCATTGGTGTTTCTTCCAAACAAGGTAATCATTGCTTTCATTCCAATACTGTTTCCTCTGATAATCATCTTTATGATCAGTTGAAGAAGTACT